CATAGAAATAAAAAACACTCCCTTTAATAAAAGGCAGGCGTGTAGAGGTCCTGGTATTAGCACACGCATTTGCTACACTACAGTTACAACAAATTCAACCTTGTGTTTTTTGTATAGCGCATTTTTATGCATCTAGTAAAATCAGTTTGCTTTTAGGCTAAATCCCACACGAGTATTGGTCAATGTAATTGATGGATGTCATCGCAAACAGCTAGGTTGAAAAATGTCTTACGGTACCAAAATGAGGCCAAAAATTTTCGCGTGCCACATACGTCCCAGAAAATCTTAACCTCAATAACGCAGAAATGCTTTGCAGGGATATTAGTAGCTGTGACCTAATCCAAGGATAAAATAAAAATGAGGGTAGACTGAGTAATCTGGCCAGAGAGCTTGGCCGCCAAAACCGGTAACTTGACCCATAAACACGCGCCCGGGTGGCCGTTTGGATACATTTCGTTCGGGTGGAGGCCAATTTGACCCCCTGAGATCTCAGAAACTAAGACAGATAGAGACACCAAATTCATAGCATGTATTACCTTGTACATGAACTCACGTAGGTCAAATTTTGAGGTTCCTAGGTCGTAAACTTTGGGTGACATAAGGTAAAACGAGGTCATAGCCCAGGTTGATGTACAAAGGGCTCCTACAGTCTAGATAACTATTCTAAGCAAAAGGTCACGTGCTCATTGGAGGTCAGTGGCCTTGTTTGACCTTTTGAAGGTCATGGTGATCAAAATCACACAAGACTGCATTAAGCTTTGCACTTGAATAAACGACTAGGATTACGCTGGGCAGTGTGCTCCTAAAACAAAATGTTGACCAAGGTCATTTTAGGCCAGTGACTTATGGTGGCCTTTAATAAGTTCATGGAAGGTGCATAATGCAGTTCCTGTTATCAATAAACTCGCAGTGGGCGCCAGAAACTATAATATACAGCAAGCCCTAGAGTCAAAAAACAGCTTGGTTTGACCTTGGTATGACCTGCATACCTGACCTTAGGCGAATGCAATTTGCTTATTCAATTGTTGTGTTGCCTAACAAAATATCTCAGAGATATATGGCTTCGTCTAACACTCCGTTGTTGGATCAGACTGAGCGACTGCCTAGAAATTGCCTTCGCTGAAACCAAGGCCTGATTTTGACCTGCCATAGGTCAGCGACCTTACAAGATCCCTCTAACTTTTTGACGCCAGACGATCTGCTATTCAATTGTCTATAGCTATTCAAAATTTGGCGCGGCTACGCCGCGTCGTCCGGAAACCATTTTGAAAAACCTTCAAGGGGGGCAATTTGACCCCCACCCGAGCGTATGATAATGTAGCCGGATGTTAACCTCCACATAAGGACATATGCTACTTATTTATAGTAGCATAGTACTAGAACCCTCCCTCCCGTCGTAATAAAAGTCTTGGCTGCTCTTATCACCACATAAAAATCGTAACAGCTGAGTGGATAAACGGTGCGATAACCTTTATACGCCTCGGGCCATAAGACACGCACAGGTTTGTGGTGAGGTCCAAGTGGAATACGGGGATGATCTAAGTTCTCTACGGCTGACATTATCTCCGTTCCCCACAACCAAGATACATTCCCCCTCCCATGGCCACCATAGAAGAGTGCCTTCGGTGCCCTAAGGCGGTCTCCAGACTTCACTTTATTTGCCGGTCAGAGGAGGCGCGAGCGTCCAGTACTTGTTCCCTGGATCCACCCCTGCATGACTGCTTTGCTGCTTAACTCAAAAAGTGTTTTATAAACGAAACAAATGTCGGATGATTTCCCAATCTAGACCAGTGCAGTCAATAGGCTAGCCGATAATTTCAAGACTTATCCAAGGTGAGAACCCTAAAGTCACAAATGTAAGCCTATGCGTTTACAAAAATTCAATGGTTGTTTTGTTTGGCGGTGGTACTTAACAGGGCCCATGCATCAATGCTTGCATAAATGGCATCTACCCTTCGCACGGCGCTCGGGCATTCGACAACTGAATGCGAGGTACGTCTTTGCAGTCGGTTTTTGTGGCGGTTCTTGACAAATTTGCCGAATCATGCTGGATTTTGCAAAGAAGAGATTTCATCACAGGGCTTTTTCCTTTGCCCATCATGACGTGCGTTCCTTCAGAAATGTGCATTGCACTGTCAACAAGTGCAAGGACGGCTAATCCCATACCCTTCGCATCGAATGTGGTAGGGGTCAAGTTGACCCCTTGAGATCTCAAAAATGAGGCGTGCTAGAAACAACAAATTCACAGGGTGAGTTGGTCCGCGTGTGTGTCACTTCGAAGCAACTTGAGGTTCCTAGGTCATGACCTTTGATCAAATAAAGTAAACAAATCCAACTTCATACTGGTTTCCAAAGTGCTCCAGATCTGTTCATGCAACCACCTTGAACCCAGATACCAGACCAGCTGCTTGTTGACCATTTTAGATCTGCGACCTAACCTAAACCTTAACAAGTCCATAGAAGATGTCTTTTGCAGTCCATTTCATTAATAAATTCGAAATGAGTACTGGAAGCTTTCCCTTCCAGCAGACTCCCGAGTAAAAAACCAGGTGGCTTTAAACTTTGGTCTGACCTTCATACCTCACTCTAGGTCGATGGAATTTGTTGTAAACCTAAATGTAATAGTTTGGTTGCCTCAGACACCATCTCAGAGATGTATGGCTTCGTCTAACATTCCTGTGTCGTATCAGATTGAGCAGTTCCCTAGAAATTGCGTTCGCTGACAGACACGGCCTGACTTTGACCTGCCGTAGGTTAGCGATCTTTCAAGGCACATCGAATTGTTGTATCATAAAATCCACTTCTCAAATGCGTACAACTATGAAAGGTTTGACGCAGCCACACCGCACCGTTCGAAAATTATTCTGTATAAATATTCGGGGTCAAGCTGGCCCCAACCGGGCGCCTGTTAATCCTACCGCAAGAGAGCAAAATATCTTAAAGCTTCGCGATTTCTTATGTGTCTTCTAGGAACTCCAGAACTAGTTCTACAACCAGTCAGTGGCTGTATGTTCAAGTTGCGCACGGGTTCAATTCCCCACACTTCATGGCAGCTCTCTTCTGTTTCGACTTCCACCGGGGTTTAAGGCGCTTCTGTGCACGGGCTTAACGTGCTCACGACGAGCTCCATGTTCGAATCCCTCGGCTATTGACCCACTCCTGAGCCCATGGAATACGTTTTTTTTTTTAGTAATGTTTACATTTCATGATGGCAGGGGACAGCATATTGTAAGGTGCATGCAAAGTAGCCAAAACTTTTGACAGCCGCTTGATTGTCGGGCCGCAACCCTTTCGGCGACCGGTGGCTTCCTAATATGTTCGGTGCGCCATTACATTGTTCCCGGCTACTTGCGGGTCAAGTTGTTTAGTGTTGTTGACTTGTTTAGTGGCAGAGGTGTCAGAAGTGTCGGAGTCCTGGCATAGATTGCCGCATGCCTCAAGAAGCTTGTAAGCAAAGTTTGTTTAAAGAAATTTGACCAAGCGTTTTCATAGCATAGCTTTATAATGAGTTTTTCTAGACATCTTTGAAGACCGCTTATTGTCATGCACAGCGCACGCAATGTCATTCATGCGTGTAACCACTGGGCGGCTGGAGGACAACGTTTTGCATACATTCTCCATTAAAGTCACGACTTCCCATCCCAGCATGGAGCCCCTAAGTTCCAAACCGCCTTATAACTGTTTGCGTGGAAAGGTTTATCATGAAGCCTCGCCCCTGTCTTGGCAAGCTGTACCGGAACGTCTTGTCTTGCACGTCAAAGCCGCAACACTGACAGGTAGACCGCTGCTTTACTTCAAATCGTATCAGCTTTGGTTTGAGCAGGGGAAATTTGGTGAGCCAAGGTGTGGGATCGGATGGACTTTTTGACGTCTGATGTCTCGCTAATTCCCTCTCCATTGCTAAAGCGAGTCGAGTTCGACGCCCTCCGGCGAAAAAGAACGCATAAGCAGGTCCAGCCAAACGAGATCCCAACGCGGTCAAAAATGGCCACTTCCTCTTGATTCATGTCTAGGACCAGAGCATGGCAACAGTGATTGGTGGTCTTATATGCATTCCAGTATGGTCACTTCGCTTCTACAAGAATCAGGTCACATGCACGCAGGGTGCAAGGGAGTGGGGCAGGGGGTTAGGGCCCCAACTTTCTGAAAATGTAACGTTGACTTAGGTGTCTTAGTGGGAAAGAGATAACCAAAAAGGCTATCGGCCCCCAGCTTGGGAAAATTTCCGCTACCCCTGAATGCACTTGTGAGCTCAGCACCAAGGATACATACATGTGTTATGGAAAAACACAACAAAATTTAAGGAACAGAAAGGGTCCACCGAAAATTTTGCGGTTTATGGATAGCAAACTGCACCACATTCCCCCCCCCCCCCCATCCCTTCGAGCCTTTTCAATTTTTTACGCTCCAGTAACTTCACGAAGGGTTGGCTTTAGCCTACGTTCTATTAAAGGTGAAATGCGGATGTTACAGGCTATAACCTTGCTGCTAAAAGCGAAGAAAAGGGAAAATATTTCGGTTGCACGGGATATGCTGTGCTAGAAAAAACTGCCCGTGAACATGCTTTGATCGTCTCAAGGGGAAAAAAGTTTTAAGAACTGCTTGAGTGGCCCACTTGCTTTATATTTTTGAGACTCATGTGATGAAGAACAAACACGTGATCTCATTACCACGGGAATGTATGCTTCAAGCACAGCAATTCTCTGGCCACCAAGACAAGACTCAAATGGAGGGAGACTATCCTAGATCCCGTTCGAATTGCGTATGGTGCCCTCCCTTTGCCCAGCACAAACCTGCGCTCGTGATTGGCACATCAAAGTGCGTATGTTTAAGTGTGCTCGACTTATTCGCTTAATCTCGCCTTATGGTAAGAACAAATAAAAAGCTTGTTTCTGGGCCACGCGAAAGACCAACGATCGATTTTGTAAATCTGTGACCCGCATAAAAATAACATTTTAACAGATCAAATGTATCATGCGTTTCCGTTTATGCAGCCTTACCTTGCTCAGCTTCTTCTCGTATGGCAGAGTGGGTATGTGCGTGCGCAGGCCCTCGAACGCGTCGTTGATGCTCTGCATGCGGCGTCGCTCGCGCATATTGGCCGCGTGCCGCTGATGGACCTGCTGCGTGGCGCCCGAGCGGCGGCGGCGGCGGCGGCGCGTCGCCAGCTCGCCGCCGCCGCCGCCGCCGCCGCCGCGTGTACCGTACGACGCGTCATTGGATGAGCACGAGTCGTACATGGGTGACTCCATGAACTCGCAGAACTCGTGCGACTCGAAGAAGCAGCGGTTCAAAGCCTCGTAGTCAAAGTTCTCCATGGCGGAGGGGCTTCGGACGATCATGGGCACGCCGGAGTCCTGCACGGGTCGGCACCGGGACCGCAGTCCAGCTCCGCTCCGGCCTCCGCACGCTGTTAACCTGATCTGACCTGACCTCGATCGGCGCCAGCTCCTGCCGAGGCCGGACTCCCTACAGCCGTCGTCTTCGGTCCTCTCCTGCAAGGGTCCAGTGTCCACTTGACGAGACGAATCAGAGCACTTGGCGCGCAAATCGCGTCCAGTCGCTAATTGAGTGCGGCACGCGCGCGGCTAAGTGGCGGCACCCGTGGCGTGTGTGCGGCACGTGTCACCCGAATCTGACACGCGGCGCCCGTGCGGCGATCGGCACAGACTGCGGGCCGTTCGGCCGGGGCGGGGCAAAGCCGTGGGAAGCGTGGCTCGGCGACCAATGGCGCCTGGACGAGGTGCGGCGGAGGCGCCTGATTGGCTAACGGAGGCCGTGTGCCGACGCCGCAAGAGATAGCGTGCATGTCTTTCGCGGCGTCGGAAGTACCTGAACTATTCGAGGTGCCCTGACGCCAAGCCGAATGTTTCCGGACGTGTCATAATGGATGCTTCAGGTGGTATGAATATCGTGCGGGTAGCAAAATTGGATGCCCATTTTCACAAGAAACGGATGCTATTTTGAACAGGCATGAGGCAGCCAACCCAGCATAGCTAATTGGGGCGGCTGGAGGCCGCAGAATCGCTCAAATGCTTCTGGGCGCACTTCATTTGCACGTGGCGGACTTCAGGTTCGTGTAGTGATGTAAATGTATCACTTTAAGCATTCTGACTCAAACCTGAGTAGGGGAAATGGGATAACAGTGCGGGCCTCATTTTGAAAGCGCTCTGCTGATATGAATATTTAGCTTTAGGCCGATTTTGCTATGTCGATGTAAATTTTAACATTTGAGGAACTTCTGCGCAAAATATATGTGGCCTCCCAGGAATCCGATGTTACATCGCAGTTTACGCCAGGAAGACGACGTTAAGCCGCAATTCGTCATTTACGCACTCTCACCAGCCGTGTCGGTCAAGTGCCATCATGCACTGGTCATAAGAGTGCGCACTGCAGCCTGATAGAAATTGTGCGCATGTTTGTCTGCTGTCTGGCAATGATACGCCTCAAACACGTTTCGATGATATGCGTTGGCACGTAGCATTGTCTCAATAGTGTTTTCATGTTGCTGACGTCCTTTCCGTGATTTCCGTCCAAGTCCTTTCCGTGATTGGGCTAAAAGTCTCAAAATCGTATTAAACAAATGGTCAAAATTTTCAAAATAGTCAAATGATCTGTCTCCAACTAATGGCATCTTGCTCGTTTTACTATTCTGTTGTCACCGGATGATGTGTTGTAATGAACAAGTATTGAACGCTGAAGGTAAGTGGGTAGATATTGGCTGAGAATCTTAGCATTTGAAATATGTTGACATCATTTGGCATACGCCATGCTTTACACATTGTCATAGACTACTTCGATTGTTATGGATGCCGCAAGTTACAGTTGAAATGCTGAAATTGAGAAAAGTGCTGGTGCCTGTCTTGCTAATAACAACGAAAGAAATGTGACGAAAGCTATTAAAAGCAAGATGCCTATATAAATTGCAATGCTAAGAAGTTATTACGGACAGGTATTGCTGAGCTTCAAAGATGTCTGGCTATCTCTGTCACAGCATTTATATGTAGAGCGCCTTTCAGATTGATGCACAAGGTTTTTGAAATAAGACATGGACGATGACCCATGCATTAAACCGCATCGGATTAGAATACACATGAGCAGGGTCTTACTCAAAACTAACACCCCACCAACAAATATGACATAGCATAGAATATATTATGCTGATAAGATGCCTTGTGCGGCATAGGAAGAGCAAGGTCATAACAAATGTGACAACTGCCAGGTGTTATGACATAGATCAGTTTCGGGAAAGGTGACGTTGACCGCTTCCTGGTCGACTGCTGTCGTACCTATGGGTGGGACACTCTTGAAATACGCAAGTGAGTTGCAGTGGACAGATTTGTTTACACCAACTGGCTGGTTTCATGTATTCATTTATTCTGATTGCCGAGATCTGACATCAGTCTTCGATAACGCTTCAAGACGAGCGGAGAGTTCGCACATCGACTCACACTTTTCCCAATGGAATCGTCCGTTTAAATTCCGTCAGAATCGGTTAGTCTCGTGTCGCCGTGACGGCAAGGCACCATGTGCTCCATGCTTTGGCATATTCAAACATTTTTGCAGCTTGATGATTTGACCGCTCCGTACTAATCGCGAGGGGAGGCGAAATCATGGCGATATAACAATGTTGCGTAGAAAAGCTCGCTGATATGATCTTATGGATTGCAAATGTCCCACGCTTTGTGTTGGACAACTTTAGGTACTGAGATTAATCACACGAGCTTGCAGTCAGTGGCTGCAAAAGGGCTAGAAAAGGTGATGGCCGGACATTGCCGGCCCATCAAGCTTGATTTGAGATTTATGCAAGTATTTTGGTTTTACGAGCGAGTCTGTAGGGCGACTAAGTCTCTAACTCTAACACAAACTGGAGTGGCCGAGCCCAGCCGTGGCGCGGGGCAGACTGACGACACAGATTCTGGCTATCTAGTCTCATGGGCCTCCAGTTCTCCCTTTTTTTGAAAGGTATTAGTTCGAGATTTTAAAGCATAATTTATTCAAAATGCATCGCACTAAACTACTAAAACGTCTAGACTTAGTTAAGATTATACTAATTCATCTGAATCCCTGACATGTCACACGTTGCACAAGTACTGAAGCATCTTATTTTTATTCGAATGGATTCAAGTATTAATCCAAATGCAAATACGAATGCATTCATCCATGAATTCTGGTCTCAATAAGAACTACTTCAACGGTCCAGTGTGATATTGCAAAACGACAGTGTAACCACTAGGAGCTAGTCCTTTTCCACTTTAACCCTTTCCTACAGCAACGTCTTTATGTTCTGAAACCAGGGGATACAGTACTGTACCAAAGTATTGTACAGTACAGCACTGTACACTCATCAGTACAGTACTGTACTGATGTACCAAAATTTGGAGAAGCCATAATAGGTGTGGTAATCTCGTTATAAAACTGTTGCTTCGGAACTGCTGTGTAGCTTCCTATTCAGGTGTGGGGGGGGGGGGGAGGACTTCAGCCCCTGGTGGAACTTAGCGTTTTTCATTGGGATGACTGAACCCATGAACTTTTTCCATCTTGTTTCTCACATGCATTTCTTCACGGATTTCATCCACTTTATTTCTGTGGCCACATTTTGGACTTGATGTCAGAAAGAAAGCCCCTGATATTTCGGTATTATTAAGAATTCATAGTTGTTGTTTTGGGGTTAAAAGCCTTCAACATGCAAGCAGCTACTGATAAAACGACGTTGTGGTGCTAAACGACGATCATATCGACGGTACTTAATATTTTGAGCTGTGCACATCCTCAAGGGCTTGTCTCTTGAGAATGAGCACAAGGCAGCAGGTAGCAGCTTAGACCAGTTTGACGCTTCATGAGGCCATGAAAGGGGGACAGTCGTCTTACGGGAACTTGCGGAGACTCTTCGCTAATTCTATGAAGTTCTCAGCATGCCACCGCGGACAATGTAAGACTGCTGACAATTCTCGCAAAGTTCTCGGCGTACCACCAGCACTGACATCTATGCAAAAATATATGCATTTAGCAATATATTTGTGATTAAAAAGTGTCGATGTGAACGAGTCCGAAATAGTCCGTACATCCTGAATATGCTAAATCACTTCCAGTTAGTTGCATAGTCTTGTTGAAGATCATGTGACGTTTTTAAAATTTTAGCAAAGTTATTTTCCACAGGGAGTTTTTAGCGCAACGTTTTCAACTAGTATACCAAACACTATTTAAAACAAAGGCTGCAAAATATTGTATTTTTCGTAAGTCACTAAGAACAATACTGTTTTTTTCCTCTTTGCGGATGTCAGGTAGCAATGTAATTTAACTTAAATGCCGCACTTTTAAGCATTTAAAAATAAAAACAACGTGAGTTGAGCTTTGGTAGCTACATTTATGCTATACTTGAACATTCTGAAACACCCTGCATTTCCCAAAACGTGTGCTGCTTGCGGCCGCCAGCTCTGGGAGGGAGAGGCGTCGAAGTATTGAACGGTAAGTGAACATTTCCCCTGCTTAATCTATGATGTACGCTTCTAGCAATGTTTTGCAAATGTGGCGCCTCGACTGGTTGGTTGATGGCCGGGGTGTCACTCTAAAATCGGGTGTGGGGCGGGTGGAAATGATATGGTTGACCCACTTTGCCATACAGGGGAGACCGGTCAAGAGGATGCTCGGGGTAGCTCCAATCATGACCCAGTGACGCGGCTCGGTAAGTGCGTATCACGCCGATCTTTAACTTGTTCGGGAACTCTCTGCCATCTGTGGTGAAATACGAACAAATCTGAGCCTGAGACGGCGGATCGCCTGCTCCCCTCTCCCCTCCCCCCTCTCCCCAACTGGCTGTACTCCTGTTTGGAAGGACCAGAAGCATATTGAAGCTACATACGACAGGGGTCATGTTTTGTATTACATGGTTGTTTTACAGTACAAATTTACAATGCTTAGCATTATATCAGACAGATTCAAGGAAAAACGAATAATTGTGCTTTCTGTGATGTTTCATGCTAAGGGGGAGACTGTCTTACGGGGGAGTCGGCAAATCGTGTGCTCGATCTTCCTTTATCCAAACACTCTTCCGGTAATTCCTGTTGGTGGAATTCACTTTTTGGTCATGGTTTTGAAAGCTTATACGTTCTGTTCTATGCTCATTTCGTCGAGTTTGGACGTATCACGGCTCGAGAATCAGCGCAAGCGGGCGCGAAGGAGACCAAGGGTTCCTGCCAAGCTGAAAAGCATGCTGATGAGCACCACCAGCTGAGCGGTGAATACTTCATTGTTTTCTCAGTCAGTTCCATGTTGTCATCTCTCCGCGTTCATATTTATTTTGCGCTTGTGAATACTC